GTGACTCACCCAGTAGCAAAATACATCGTTTGGGTTAGAGATCGTAAGACCAAGTGCAGAGCGTATCAAGTGTCAGGGCCGCAAGCGCACCGGTAACGAAGCGGTGCTGGTTGCCTCGGCAACATGACGCTATACAGCGGCTCTGACAACCAGAGCCGTGGCCGCTTGACCCGCCCAGTGGCGCGTGCGCCGTGTGGGTACAGGGACGTCTCGTCCACTCGCTGATCTGACAGCTGTCCCACTGCACAGTATGGGTCAGTAGCCCAAGGGCTCACAATGCGAATTATACCTTGAGCGTTGGGGTGATAGTAAGCCACTCATACAGTCAGTTTGATCATAAAAATTAGATCAAACGCTGGCTGTTAGGTGTATAATTACTGTGGGAGGTGCCGAATGGAAAAAAAGCAGTAATGAAACCCTATAACAGAAACAGGCAATAATGAAGCCTTATGGCAGAAATGCAATAGTATATCAATCAACAATGCACCTATAATGCAACTGCATATGCACCATTTGCACATGTCCATAATATAAAGAGGGTTGCTCTGCCCCACTCGGACAGGGTACAAGTTTACCATGTACAGATGAAATGAATGCATTACAACAACAACATTATGTACAGGGCATGCAAAATCCACTAGGCAGGAAAATTATGGATGGGGCAACAAATATAAGTGACATATAAGTGAAAACCCAAAGTGATAAATAATGTGTGTGAGAATAAAAATAATCCCAGAGCTACCGTCTGAGTAACTCATGCGGCCCACTGTGGATTTATGAGTTTTTGTCTTTGTCTCCGTGTCCCTCTGAATACCAAGGGAAGCAGTAGGCTCACCGCTGCACTGTTTGCCAAAACCCTTTATCTCTCCTCCAAGAAACAGGTAAGTCCCAGATTGACATTGAGGCCTTTGGGGTACACTGCATCTAGTGTGTAGATCCAATGTGCCTCTCTTTAGAGAAGCATTTTTGCTCTATTGCCCCCTCTAGGATGTCTATGCACCTGTTCTATCACCATGCCTTTGAGTTTGTGTGTTTGATGCTTCTCTTTGGCAAAGTGAACCGCAATAGGCTTGTTGAGATCTAACTCCTCTCCTTTAGACAATTTCCCTATAGCTATACGAATGTCACTTCTGTGTTTCTGGAACCTTCTTTTAAATGGTCCAATTGTCTTACCTACATATATTAATGCACACGGGCATTTCAATAGGTAAACACAGTAATCGGTGTCACAGGTATGATAACCTTGAATACTATATTTCTTCCCACTATGGGGATGAAAAAACGATTCACCACATATTACGGAATTACATATGTTACAGCGGTGACATCTGTAACTTCCTGACCTGCTGGAGAAGCAAAATGGTCTCTTGGCATACTTGGGTCTAGGGTCCGCCTGGACCAACAGATCCCTGAGAGAATTACTACGTTTGTAGATATGCAACTGTCTTTTTTTAATGACTGGTGTTAAGGTTTTGTCGGCCTGTAAGATATTAGAATTGATCTGAATCGCCCTACTTTTTGCCCGGGACGCTGATGTAAATGTCTGTACAAAGGGTGGCCTCTCCTGCTTGATGACTTTACTCGACCCCTCCTCAAATCACTGTGTGGCTTTAGTATGTGCCTGCTCAATTACCTCAATGGGATACCCCCTTTCTTTACATGTATCATACATGCGTCCAATCTGTTGTGCACGCACACTGTGGTCTGAGCAAATACGCATGACCCTCAAAAATTGAGAGACCGTCAAATTGTCTCAAGTGTTGGGGGTGGGCACTATTGTAGTGTAGGATTGTATTCCTATCTGTGGGTTTAGAGTATACAGATTTAAAAAACGTGTTGTTAGTGATGGTAATGGAAACATCTAAAAAGGCAATCTCTATGCTTGGGTTGAAGACAATACTTGGAAATAAACCATTAAGATATGCTACAAGTTCACTGAACAGGTGAGTGCAGGTTGCCAGGGATAGGGTAAGTAAAAGTCCTTTTTACTGGTACCTTTTGGCAAAAACAAGCATGTAACCTTTGCAGTGCAGGGGGAGCCCCACTACAAGGGTCATTTTTGTTTTCCCCGGAGTTCAGATTTAAATATAAAGCTTTGGCTGGAGATGTGCTTTAACCCTTTCACTGCCAAGGATGTAAGTACCACGTCGGTGGCAGCAGGGAGCTGTAAATGGACTCCTGGCTGCTTTAACGTGTATATTCCCTCAGGCGACTGTCAGCTTTTAGGTTGAAATGATGCCCCACTCCCCATTTGACTACCCTCACCATGTATTCCGGGCTCCACCGCGCCTGCAGACTCAGAACAGCCATGCAAGGAATAAAAACTGTTCTGTATGGTATCTGGCTTAGGTACCATTCACTCAAGGACTTAAAGTAGAATTAGACCTTTAGTTTTTTTTTTGCATACATCTATTGCTAGCAAGCAGTAGATATATGCAAAAACACAAAAACAAAATAAAAAAGTAACCAAATAGGTAAAAACGTACCTGTGTCTCTGTCACTCGCTCCCGTCTGAAGATCTGAAGATTCTCGAGTGGCCGTGAAGGATGATGGGGCGGGCACATGCGCAGCAGAGATCTTCGGCCGGGAGAAGAGGAGGGACACAGTGTAAATCAATGCAGGCAGCCCGGCAGCATGCACGCGGACAGACACCATGGGACACAGAAGTCAGTGCTGGACTAGAGACCGGCACCAGCGCTGGAGCGACTCTTGAAAACAAGTACAAGGAAGAAGATGATCGGATCAAGAGGCATCATTTAAGGTAAGTCCTTAAAGCAGCATGGGGGGGGAAACTCATGACGTGTTACATGTGTTTTGGAATGGATGTTGTAACTGGACACAATCTATCCTGTGTCCATGGACAATCATCTATCCCGAACCGCGAGTAATCATACTATGAGAGATGAGGCCGCTGTCACCCCATCATTTACTTCAATAGGTACAGCGGCCGCATCCAGACGGGGACACCCGGGATTCCTGCCTTAGGACTCTCAGAATGCATCATAAGACCCCGTGTGAATGGGGCCTAACTGGAGGCAATCTGTCTGCCACTTGAGCCAATCATCTGTCCATGAAAGTCCACCCTCTTTGAATTCTATGGTTTTACGTATCAGGACATAATTACAATCATCTGGTCCTTTGCTGGTCTAAAGGTGCCCATACACCTTGCGATTATCGCACGATAATCGTGGGAAAACCCGCGATCGTATGATAATCGCAAGGTGTATGGAAAGCGTTCAACCGTTTTTACTGTACGGTCGCACGTCTTTTGACGAACCAGCACGATTCTCGGCGGGTTTCTAGCCTGCTCGATCGACAACTGCGGAACGGGCCGGTGTGCGCATGCCCGTTCAGCATTGCGGTCATCGGAAGCCAGCCGCTTTAGATGATCGCAAGTACGATCTGCCTGTCCAAGATGGGCAGATCGTACAAGCTTTTAATAAGCTTACGACTATCGCAAGACAAAAGTCTTGCGATGGTCGTTAGGTGTATGGGCACCTTTAAAATGAGGTAAGTACAACCTCAGATGAACCACAACACATGACATGTTACGCCGTATCATTATGTATTTTACAATCATAAGGCCAAAATGGAGAAGTTATGTGTGAAAAACTAAGTACACCCTTACTTCCATAATAATTGTTATTATGTCCTCATACTTAAAGCTAGGGATGCACCAAAATGACATTTTTAGACCGAAACTGAAATTAAAAAAAATTTGTGAAGCCGAAACCAAAACTTACTTTTTTCCCTCCAAACTTTCTAAAAAATGTTAAACTATTATTTATTTTTTTAGAGTTGGGGGCTCTGGGGAAATGTCCCTTTTAAAATAGAAAGAGAGATTGAGAACACAGAGTCCTAAATCTCTTTTTCTGCAGCTCCTGTTATGAACGAGCAGGAAGCCTCTATACTGAGTGCGCCTGTGCATACATAAACTGAAGAGACAGCATCAGTTACTACGTCCACAACCATAAACGAACAGGAAGTTATGTAGAGCACTTCCTGTTCATTCATAACTGGGGACACAGTAAGCAAACTATATCCTCAATTATTTACACTCAGCAATCAGTCCCGATCGCTGAGTGTTTGTACTCCGCTCTCCATCCCGACTCTTCCGCATGTCACAGGTGAGGCAGTGCAAGAGGCGAGCACGGATTTCTGTGACAGCTCTCTCCTCCTGCACCACCGGCTCGGCTTCCTGAAAGCTTCTCTCCTCCCCGCTGGATCGGCTCTGTGTTCCCTCCAATCCCCACTGCCTTTGCCGACACATGCAAGGGAGAGCAGCAGGGATCAGAGGGGACACAGAACGGCGTCCAGCGGGGAGGAGAGAAGATAGGGATGCACCTTATATTCGGCACTATCGGCTTTTAGACCAAAGTACCATTTTCTACTGAAATGTTTTTCAGCGGCAGAAATTTTGGTGCATCCCTACTTAACGCCATAGAATTCATCAAGGGTGTACTTTCTTTTTCATATGCCTGTCCATGCGGATAGCGGCGGGCAGCTGCGTCTCCTGTCATTGCTTTGTACATGCTAAGCGGCTGCAGCTGTCCGCAAACCACCTGTGATTTTCTGCTTGATATAATTAGGCTGTGTGAATGAGGCCATACACTCTCCAGAACCCCATATACATGATGAGTAGAATATTAGTTGCTAGGAGTATACAAAATCATTGCATGTCACACATCCTGTGTAGAGAGGAGCCAAGCCCAGACTTTCAGTGACCTCTCTCCCCACGTGTCATCATGAGTCAGAAGTTGGCAGAGAACAAGGGGGAAGCCTGGGGTGATGTCATGGCTGTGAGGAAGGCATTAGGGTGGTCCTCTTCCCTGCTGACGTAGAGTAATACAAATCACGGCTCTGCAGGGGTCGCTGGGAAGTCCCTGAAGTTACCCAGCACCCCAGACTAGGGGAACCCCGCCATGAGGGAGCGTGCCCCCGTGTGAACCCCCATACCGCGCTCTCTGGCCCCCGTAACCTCACACCCTGCAGACGCGCGTCCCCGGGGGTGTCCCCCACATGCACGCGCACCCCTCTCCCGCGTCACGCCCAGCCTGGTACACGCCCCCTCCCCTGAGCCTAGGGAGCCAGCGCCGGGTCCGTTATCGAGTGTCGTTCAGCCCGGTCACCTCCGCAATAGCAGCCGCCATGTTCAGCTGGGTCAGCAAAGACGCCCGCAGGAAAAAAGAGCCCGAGCTCTTCCAGACGGTTGGCGACGGGCTTCGCAAGCTCTACAGCCAGAAGCTGTTTCCCCTGGAGGAGACCTACCGCTTCCACGACTTCCACTCCCCGGCCCTGGAGGATGCCGACTTCCACAATAAGCCCATGGTACTGCTGGTGGGCCAGTACAGCACCGGCAAGACCACCTTTATCCGCCACCTCATGGAGCAAGACTTCCCCGGCATGAGGATCGGCCCGGAGCCCACCACGGACTCGTTCATCGCTGTCATGCACGGCCCGGTGGAGGGGGTCGTGCCCGGGAACGCTCTGGTAGTGGACCCCAAGAAGCCCTTCAGGAAGCTCAGCGCCTTCGGCAATGCTTTCCTCAACAGGTCAGTGTGCGTGTGAGAGCCGGGGTGTGCCCAGCTACCGGGACACTACAAGTCCCACCATGGGGTGCCTAACCCATGACCCTACAACAGTCTTACTTATACTTTCTGTGTCCCCCACCTTGTTTAGCTGTTCTTTTATCGCTGTGTGTTAGGGAGTCAGCTGCTTGACCTCCAACCCCTCTCAGAGTCTGTGTTCAGGCAGCTGACAGAGCAGCAGAAATCAGACTTCAGGTGACCCTTGACCCCAGACTAGAGTCAGGCCAGCTAAATATGGTAATGGCCAGAAATTGTTCACAAGTGAGTCTATTGGGGCTCATTCACAGGGGTGCAGGGGCCCGTACAGCATGCAGGAAGCCCTTGTTTATGTGTGTGTTCCATAATTCTGCCCCTGTACACATGTTTAAGCTTGCGAGTTGTCATTGATTTTTAACAGGCTGCATGGGGTAGAAACAAGGACCTCCTGTGTGCTGTACAGGCCTCTGCGCCCCTCTGAATGGGCCTTTGGACTCATTTAAACTGTATGTAAAAAATCCCTTTTTTTCCCCCCCCTAGTGTTGGATAGAATGGTGAAGTGTTGGACCCTCTCATGTTTTTATTGCTGCCTGTCCCCACTAGGGAGATTCACCCCTCATTTTGTCCTGGTGACCAACATCACTGAGACAGAAAGTAAGTGTAAACCCTAACTTTAAAGGATGAGTGCAACGTAAAACAAAGGGCACTTATCCTTTTTACTCCCCTCGCCTAAGAAATCCCCCCTCCACAGATGTATACTTACCGAGATGCAATGTCCACGGCCGCACCACAAGTCCTTGCTCTTTTGCTCTTCTGGCCGCGCCTGTACAGTAGAACCCACAGAGGTCTATGGGGGCTTGTCTGCCTCCGTCTCCCGGCTGGGAGAGCCTCATAGTCTTCTATGGGGCGCTACTGTACAGGTGTGGCCAGGAAAGAGAGAATATCAGAATACGCCAACCGTTCGGCTGACAATTTTCCACCCTGCACCTATTTTCTGATTGAAGAATGTCGGGTGGAAGGCTGATGACTGGGCCACTTGCTGTGGAAATTCTGGCCACTTCATTGAGAAAAGGGGAGGGCAGCTGTCCCATGAGGCATTGCAAGAGTCTTAGTCATGACTCGCAGAGACAGATAGATGTTGGGATGTGTAGTTTCACCACAGCTGGAGGGCCGGAGTTTGCCCACCTGCTCCAAGCTCACTCCTGTGATGTACTACAATCTAAATACGAATTGGTAAACTAAATGTGAGATTGTAGTCCATCACGGGCGTGAGCTTGGAGCGGTGACTACTCTACAACACACACAGGGACCGTGGGGAACAAAAGTAGCCACCCTCCAGAAGGAAGGACAGTGTCCGCACCATAGCAGAGATGATTTGAGGATCAGTAGCCGAGTGATACACAAATGAGGTACATTTTTGTTATTAAAGTATTTGAAAGCATTTTTTAAGATTTAAGTTTTTAGTGCCACTTTAACAGATCAGAAGGGAACATGTAAGAGACGTTCATTGTTAGGTTTTACATACCCTTTAAGAATAAGAACAATTCTTTTGATAAACATGAGAAGTGTTCTATTCCTTAGTCCATGTGCCCTGTTGTACCCTCCTGATACAGGACCTGTCAGACCATAGTGCTCACATGGCTTGTACACTGTGATATTCACAAGCAGTTCACATAATTAGACCATTTGCATAGTCTGTGGGATGTAGCATGACTCTGCAAGGTCATATTCAATGGTCATGCTGGGAAAATCAGTGAAATGATCCTTTCTCTGTGTATGTACAAATACTAAACCTCGTACTAGTCAGCGGTGATCACTAAGAAGGTAATTTCCACTTCTAAGTTCTACCCGTCTGTGCCATTCTTTACAATAACGAGGGGCTTCAGTATTGTAGCTCTGCAGCATCTGGGGAGGTCATATGTTCAGCCATTTGTCAGTGAGTTCAGTAACTGACTTTGTGAATATATAATCCAAGCTTTCATTTCACAAATAACCATTAACTTTCTAGCAGTGGGAAATATTTGTCCTTTTCTTGACACATTTCATGTGGTGCCTGCGATGATCAAATCGTCTAGGGCAGTGGTGGTCAACTGACTTGACACGGGTCTCAAGCGTGGCCCCTGACATCACCAAAAGGCCACATTTGATATTCAGGGAACACAGTGCTACAGAAAGTTGTCAGAGACTGAAGACCTGCAATTGGAGATGACCAGAGACAGCAATAAGGTTGTAGGTGTTGGAGAATGAGGGCATGCTTCAGGAGAATAGTCCTTGCTTGGAGAAACATTACATGATACTGCTAGAGATCACGGCTATTACAGACGCTTTCCAAGTCAACCAGTCCTCATTTTTGCTCTCTATGGTCCTCCTAAAATGTACTTGTGCAACAGTTGATTTTTCGCTCTGGAAGATTCAGTATAAAAGATCAGGGGAAAACAAAACACTAAAAGAGAAATGGAATGGACCGCACACCAAAAAAGTAAAATGGCATGAAAGAAATAAACCAAACCATTAACACTGGAATCCCATCTTTCACTGGCACCAAAGCAGACTACTGTCTTCAGGAGCCCCTGAGAGGTGCACAATAAGTGCCAAAGATAATGTCACCGCTCTTTGACCTTCACCGCTCTTTGCAGTGAGATGAATGGAGAGTGAGCAAGCGACGGTATGTGTTCGCTCACTTCCCAATCTATAGGGCCAATGTGTGACAGTTTCAATGTCACAGGTCGGCTCTAACAATGAGGATGAGTGTAAATCACTCACCTCATAGTTCTCCTTTAGAGCTTAAGAAATGCATTCATGTACCTTTTTTAAATATTAACAATACTGTGCCTAATTTGTGCATCACTCGGCTCTAAATCCTCAAATCATCTCTGTATTGGTGCTGACACTGTCCTTCCTTCTGAAGGGTGGTTACTTTTGTTCCCACATCCCCTGTATGCATTGGAATACTAGTATCGGTGCCTATACCAAGTATTTATGTGAGTACTTATACTCACCCAAATGTTCCCGATGCCTATCCCGATACCAGAACTTCCGGTATCAGGAAGCTGGACGGTGAGTCATTACACGCTCCCCGATTGGCCAGGCAGCCTGCTCCATGCTCTCTCGTCACTTGGTGATGAGGGAGCATGGAGCTGGCTTCCCGGCCAATTAGGAAGATGGGCAGCATGTAAAGACTCACCGCCTAGCTTCCTGATTGGTGGGGAAGCTGGACAGTCAGGAAGCCAGGTGGCGAGTCATTACGCGCTCTCGGGCTTCCTGATTGGCCAGAATGCCGGCTCTATGCTTCCTTGTCACCTGGTGACGAGGGAGCATGGCGACGGCTTCCCCGCTATTTGGGAAGCCGGGCGGCGTGTATTGACTTGCCTCCCGGCTACTCAGGAAGCCGGGCGACGAGTCATTACACGCTGCCTGGCTTCCTTAATGGGACTTCCGGTATCGGCGAGTACAGAAAAAAAATATCTGTCGTTGATACCAAAAAACAGTATCGGTGCATCCCTAGAAAGTAGCTACAGCTCCAAGCTCACTCACCTGATGGTCTACAATCTCACATTTTTTTTTACTAATTTGTATTGAGATTGTAGTCCATCATGGGAGTGAGCTTGGAGCGGTGGCTACTTTACAATACACATGGGGAACAAAAATAGCCATCCTCCAGGATGAAGGACAGTGTCAGCACCAATTCAGAGATGATTTGAGGATCTACAGCCAAGTGATACACAAGGTCCAGTATTGTTAATACTTGGGGTACTTGAATGTATTTTTAAGATTTAACTCCTGAGTTTAGTGTCACTTTTATTGGCATGAACACCTGTTCTACAAAAGGTAGGCTTTACATCTAATGTTTAGATGCATTAAGTTCCTGTTACTGCACAACATGGATTTTTGCGTCTTGTTTGCAGCTTTATATGAAGCATTCTTTGCAGCCCTTGTTCGCCTCTGTGTCCTCTTCACCTCTCAGAAGAGTGCTAAAGCACACACATTGCAGCCTTTTTAACAGAACAGATGAAATTGTTTACTTGTAAGACTGGCTCCCTGAGTACACTGGATGCAGACTATCCAGCAGTTCTGGGGCCATGCTCTGCCCACGTCTGGAATGTTCACTTTGCTGGGGAGTGCCGGGAATGTCTTATTTTTGAATGGGGTAGGAACTGGTGGGAAGTAACCCAAATGCTGGGGGAACTCCCCTTGCAGTTGTGCTGCCCCTGCGCGGCAAGAGTTAACTGCTCATTGAGGTTTTGGGTACCAGGGTAAAGCAGTTTTATGTACTTGATCCCCCTACTCTCCGGCTTGTTGACTGTTCCTTGGCGTCCTCATGTATAATGCAGAGCAATGGGCCCTACAGTATACATAATTATGTCAGCTAACCTCCGACCGCCAGAGCATAGGTGCTGGTCTTCATGGAAGGAGTGGGAATCTGGTATGGAAAGGTCATTAAAGGAGAACTATGGGGTCAGTGTTTTTCCCCATAGTTCTCCAAAGGGTAACGGGAGGACACAAACTAGAAGACCTAAATGAACATTCAACCCTTGCAGTGCAGGGGCAGCACCACTGCAAGGGGAATTTTTTTTTCTTCTGGAGATTATCTTTAAAGTTTATACAACATCTCTTATATTGCCTACTCTGATGATGGGCAGGCCACATAATAGCACAGAAAGGTCAGAGTTCACTGAAATCAGTGAAAATTGAAAGCGGACTCATAAGAGTTGAGAGATTTTTGACCATAATACCACTTTAAGGGCCCGTTCACATCTATGTGTGGTTTTTGGCACTCCATTGCCTATCTATTTTTACTGTGCCCTCAACATGCATCTATAGACAGTGTGTCAAAAACTTCCCTACTTTGTATGTGAAATGTTTGTATTATCATTGCTTGTCCAGCTGAAGGATGTCCATTTTATCTTTCAAACCTGTCTTCAGGATGTCCTTACATGAGTAAAACAGGAACCGTTCAGACACATTTTTCAGTGGAAAATATATTTTTT